TTAAAATTAAATTAAAATAAAATTGAATAAAATTTATTAAATTAAGGCAATGAGGAATTAAGAATAAATGAAAAAATTTAGTTATTTTTAATAGAGTCTGTTTTCATAGGAATTTAATTGCTTTGACATTTAATCCAAAATATTCACTAACATTACAATAATCTTATTAGAAAAATGATAATTGTATTTTTATATCGAAACATCAACAGCTTTAAAAATTATTATAAATTTTTAAATTTAATAAAGCCCTTAAAAATTGAAAATAAATGAAAAATTCTTGATTTAATCTTGGCTTTAGATAGCTATTGCTTTTATAGAAATTTAATTGTCTTGGCATTTGATTATCAAGATATTTAATAATGAAAATTAAAAAATTATATAAATTATTATAAATTTTTAAAATTTATCAAATTAAGGCTTGAGGAATTAAAAATAAATGTAAAATTCTTGATTTTAGTTAACTTTGACTTTAGTTAGTTATTACTTTTATAGAGATTTAATTGCCTTAGCAAGTACCTTGGAATTTAATTGTCGAAATATTTAATGATAAAAATTAAAAAGTTGTGAAAAAGAAAGATAAATGATCACAATGTATTCAATTTTGATTGAGGAAAAAAAACTTCGTGATAGAGTCCATAATCGAGAGAAAGTGTACGGTGTCTAAGGAGAACTTGGCATGCTTTTTCAACTACGTGTTTCGAATAATCTCTTATATATGTCACAGAGAACGTTATTTCTATTTTTATTCTGAAAGTGATAAACTGCCTGCGAAGCATAATAAACTTTATATTCGAAGTAATTAGCTCTCTAGAAGAACATATGTGTAGGTGCGAAACAATATGCAAACTCGTTAAACATTACTGAGACATATTGCTTCTCACTTTCTTAAATACCAGTTGATAAGAATGAACAAACAGCAATTTGTGGCTCTTAAATGCACTTCAAAAATAAAAAATGTGGCGATTATGTAATAGCCACAAACATTTAAATTTCGAAACATATTTGAAATATACATCATGTTGCAATCGATCTATGCTTGTTATACTTACAGCATTAAACGCGAATATATTGTAAAAGCGGCAATTAGAATTCATTATATAGCTTTATAATTCATCAACTTCTACTACTTATCAACCGTTTTCGCAGAATTGAGAGATACTCAATTTTCCGCAATGCAAATATTGATTCGATTGCGAAACCAAGATATGCTACGTAGGACGATACAACATATCAATAAATTTACAACCTAATTTATGTATCAAGTTATTGATAAATATAATATCTACACACACACAAATAAATCACAGAAATGCTGCTAAGAATTATTTCCAAATTAACTTCGGGATGATAACATATACTGTCTGTCAATAACATAATAATACACACATCGACATTTGATCGTAATAATATATATACAAAATACACAAGAAATGCTCCAAAATAATACAACTATAACAATCTAAAATTTCGATTTAAAATTAAATTAGCTCCTTTTCTCGCGAGATAATTTATTTCTTTTCTTTTATATTCATTAACATTGCAATAATTTCTATCACGATAAATTCAATAAAACATTTTCAAAACATGTATAATTTTTTGCAAAATAAAACCAATATATTCCAATAATAATCATATTGTAATCGTAATATATTGTATATAAATATTATTGAAAATCCTTCACATTTTTGCACACGGTTGTTTGTGCGAGAAGCCACTAAAGATGATTACCTTTTTTAACGCCGTTATCATTATAAGTCGATAAGTCCCGCTTATCATGTTTATAAACTCTACTGTATACTTGTCTAATGTCAACAAATAGATTTTCATTGTGCTAATAATAACGCTATGAAAATTTCACGAAATTTCTGCGAAATTAAGCCGGTCGCTTACCTGAGGTGCGCTCGTGAGAAACATCGCTCGTGTGTCTTTCTCGTTCGCGAATTCCCCGAATTCTCTCTCTCTCATTCACTTGCTAATTGAGCACCTCGTGCTCCGACAGACCCGTACACGCCGATCATCCGATCACGACTGCAGCCCTTCGAAGCCGGCGCTTCGAGAGAGCGAACTCGCGAACGCGAAAGACGGAGAGGGAGATATCGTTGGCAGAAATCTCTTACCCCTACCACGTCGTGCTCGGAAAGCAACTCTGACAGCTGCTATTGTACGCAGAGCTCGCACGGAAACGGACCAGGACACAGCTAGAGATAAATTATCCCTCAAATGAAAAGATCAATTTCTCCCGGGAACCCCACTGTATTTTTGTTACCTGAAATCGGGGCTTCGAAGGGCTGCATTTGTCAAATCTTTGAACCCTTAGTCTAGTTATTTCTTTATCTACATTTTTATGAATGTTATTTCATTGAAAAATGAAATTTAAGACCTTTGATACCGCTTGACAATTTTGAAAGTAACGATTAAGAATGCATCCGCACAACGAATAATAAACGAGAAAGAGAGAATTTTAACGAGCGGCTAGAAGTGTCATAATAAGCTTATCCCAGCTGATTTGATGTCGCGACGACCGCAAAGTACCTTCTCCGAGCGCGGCGTGCGAGTAATAATATTGATGATGATACTTGTAGCACTCGGCTACGAGATAATAACGAAGTAAAAGTAATAATGAAAGTTAGAAAAGCAGAGAGGATGTAAAGTACGTGCGACTACTCACGCTACAGCGAGTTTCTTTCGAAGGGTGGCGGATGGACTTGGATGGCTAACGACCCGTCGAGGGCATCAATCGGCATCGCGAATCCTCCGGGACTCCCAATTCCCGCACCCTCGCACGTCGTCGTCGACGTCCTCGTCAGACTTTACTTGAGCCGCCGACGGCCACCACGTGCTCTCGCTCGCCACCGACCCGGCGACCGCAGACCGTAAATACTATATACCCGGTTGCGAGCGCATATCGGAGCACTGCTGCGTGCACGCGCAGACGCATTTGACGTGCGCTCTCATTTCCAACCCTCTCGCCCCCGGAATCCCCTCGGGTTCCCACGCGATACGAGCGCGAAACCTACCGCGCCCCCATTCATCCCCGTGCATTCACGGGCGAAGCGCGACGACGCGACGCGACGCCCCGAGAGAGAGATCCTCCCGCGTGCAACCCTCTTGATCAATACTCCGACTTCCTCCGACCGCGAACATCCTCGCGATCCTCTCTGGACCGCGCGCGAGCTTCGGTATGCCGAATAGAATAGGAGGTATATATATATATATATATATATGTATACGTCGAGACAAAAGAACCGCCGAGATATGTCGGTGTGAAGGGCGATTTGGGTGTATTGCAGAGTGTCGAGGGAGATTGAATAAATAGACTGTTCGACGCCTGTAACCGCTGAACCATTTCGGTGAAAAAAAACGCCAGTACGCAGGAACGAATTTTCTCTTAGAATTTATCCTGAAAATCATAATGGTGGGACAATATATATGGTATTGGAAGAGTTTTTTTTTAGAGTTTCTCTGATTAATATTTACATCACGATAAAAAAGAAAAATAATTAATATTCAGAATAAGATGTAAAATTTTTCGATTAATTTTTCTATGTACATATATTCATATTTTTTGTTGTGGTAAATATTAATCAGAGAAACTCTTAAATTCTTGCAATATTGTCCCACGATTACCATGATTTTCAGAATAAATTCTAAGAGAAAATTCTTTCCGTGTCATTCTATTTTTAAATCAATCGATAGAACGAAATTGTGAAAGAAAAATCGACTCTGTAAAATACCATTTCTTATTTATGTATTTTTAAAAAGACAGAACAAAAATGCTCGCATTTTCATCGAATGTGTGTTGTGCTGTTAAATATTATGTTGAGAGAGAAAAAATTCTATATACTGTCATAAAGATAATTTTATCTAGACAAATTCCGAAAGAAAATTATCCATTTCATTTTACACAGATAAAATTCTTTTTCGATAAAAACATCCTTAAGAAAGATTAGGGTTTCGTCTGGAAACTGGCCTTTGTCCATTACGAAGGGCAGACACGTCGTTGCCGGAAGAAGAATGTTAGAGCAGAAAGATTCGATTTCAGCGACGACGACCTTAGTTAAAGCTTAAGGAATTACATCAAGTAAACTCGACGATTTTGTATTGATTTCCCGAGAAACGGGAAAATTTTTATCACAAACGTACATTGAACAAATTAAAATGATCAAACGATTTAAAATAAAATGCGCTCTAATTTCGAAACTATTATACGCGTTCATAAAATATTCATCAGACTTTTTCGTAAAAGTGTTTAATGCAGATTTGATATGCGCAAATAGGACGAATCCAAACGATTGCCAGAGGCAAAACCTTTCTCACGATTGATCGGAGAGTAATCTGAAATCGATAGTCGTCTCTAATACTCGATGATTGCATATATGAGCTCTGATACTGTATGACTACCCGTTTACCTCCCTTTTCCTACTAATATTATATGTAGATACAGCTGTAAAACGTGCCCACGGTGTGCCGCGCCCACACATATTCGTTTATGAGCACTTAAAAAGCTACGCAGGAACGTCAGCAGTTTAAAGATCATGTAGGTGAAGGATCTGAGAGATTGAAGTATCTTAAACGTAGCTTCATGTCTCTTTCGCGTGTGTGTCGATAGCAACGAATTCTTGCTACGTGCATAATTATGAGAATACATATATAATATATATATAATAAGAAATTGCATTAGTGATTGTATAAAAGCTATTGGCCTTTCTAACTTCAATAACATTCATAGAATCAACCGTTAGATCAATTGCGGAATGAAAATATAATCATAAAACAGCAATTATAAAAATTGCTGGAGAAAGAATAATATGCATATGAATTTTATGAAATATGTCGGACAAATAATTCGGATCTGTTTCTCATGTGAAATTTTGCATATTAATCTTTCGCGTGAAAATTCAATTACGTTAAATTTAATATTGGTTCGTTCGATTTTAAAGTTCAATATTTCAAAATCAATATTTAATGCAATGTGTAATTTATATGAATATAAAAAATACCTTGAAGATTCGAAAGGAGGACGAATTCGACGTGCAGGATTTCTTTTTGCTATCTCACAGCCCATCAAATGCTGTAATGTTGGACTCCCATGCGATCACGAAGTAGCATTTTCGTAGTCTCTTCCTTCCGCAAATGCAGCGTAATCACTCGGAAACCGATTGCCAAGTATTAAGTAGCTCTGTTATATCCCATGAATGTTTCCTATACGGGTTTCCACTTTTCGATTGTTTCCTGAGCGGTTGTCACGACGCTACTCATAAAACCGGAAGTGGCTCAGTTAGTCACAATGCATATAACACGCATTTTTTTCTCTCTCGTCTGCACGTATATCTCTGCATAAGCGTGCATCGCGTTGTGCATTGTTATGCGCTTTCATACACGTCAGACCAGAGAAGTATATATCAGACAAAGTTGCATTCGCAGTCAATGACCAAAATGGAATCGAAATATGAGAAAAGCAAAAATGCATCTCTATGAAAAGGCTAGATCGTAAAAGAATATACGAAAGGTATAATGCTCGGAATGTAGGGTTACTACATTTTACAGCAAGATAGAGACGCCTTCTTCCGCTAACAAAGCGTTTTCTCTATAATCATAAATAATAACATGCACATCATACGAAACTGCATGGACTCTGGATACAAAATAGCGGAATGATAAAGTACATACGCAGAAAGTTACAGTGGCATCACGATGTCAAACAACGGTATAATTGGAACGCATTCTATATAAAAAAAAAAAAAAAGAAATCGATAATCGAATAAATATTATACTTTTAAATTATTAGCTTATCTTTTATTTCTGTAAAATGTGACTCGACTATAAACTTTCAAATTGATGAAAGTTTCAAATTTTAATTTAGATGATATTTATGTGATATTAGTAAACTTTTATCTCACATATTATCTCAATAATTTTTCTCACATATTTTCTTGATAATTTTCTCAACCATAAACTTTCGAATTTATGAAATTTTTAAATTTTTATATAAAAGTTTATAAATTTAGATGAAATTTGTATGATATTCATGTGATATTAATAAATTTTTATCACAAATGTTTTCTCGATAATATATTATATGTGCATATTACAATCTTAAATAAAAGTGTTCTTTTTTTCTAAATGGTAGCTCTACATGAAAAAAGTGCTCGTGATTTTATAGAAGACATCTGAAAAATGAAATAAAGATGAACTGGTACCAGGAACCACCAGCTGGCGTGTCTGAAGATTCGGTCCTAAGCTCTGCCATGCTCTGATTATTACAGCGTTTATCGATTGTACCATGCTTCTATTTTTGATATCTTGTCCCCAAAAGCTCGATAAGTTGACTAAATTATATTATTCCAAACATAGAAATCATACGCTCGCGTGTTGTGTGTCAAACTGTTTCTACGATGACAAATAATGCTCGCGGATGACTCTTAAATCTATCATCTACTAGTACAGCTAATACGAGAATTATTATTTGCAACTCTGCGCACAATATGGAAAATATTAGGAATAAATATAAAATAGCTTAAGAATAAAAATTATTATAAAATAGTAAAATTAAAAACCCTGATATACAAATACAAATTCGGATATAAAGGGCTCTTACTTAGCTTATTAGCCCTTACTAGTCCTTATACTCGAATTTGTATTTTATTTATATCAGTCTTTCAATTTTATTTTCAAATAATTCTTATTCCTAATTTTTAATATATTTATTGCTAATATTTTCTTTTTCTTGCGCAGGGCCTAACGTAATATAATTTCAATGTCTTAAAAATTGATATAATATATATAGATAAAAAATACATTCAGATATGAAATTTTTGTAGTTTCTGAATTATAAGAAATTGATAAAATCACACAAAAAAATGCAATTTGGCAAACTTTGTATTTCAAATGCAAATAAGAAATTTTAATATTATTTGAATACCTTTTTGATTAATTTTAACCTAACCATATTTCCTTAAATTCAACAATGATTAAAAGAAATGATCAAAACATTTCGTTTTTCTCACATATATTGAATCGATTTCAAGGTGCTGAGGATCAATTATTAATGATTGCGATTTACATCACACAATAATACATGAAGAAAGTCTCAAAGATTCTCAAAAATATAAAATATATAAAAATATCAGAAGAAACGCGATGACATCTTATCTTACAAAAATATGGCAATATGCGAGTTTGCTAGCTAATACTGAAGAATAATCACAGAAAAAGGAAAATTTCCAATTGGAATGATTCCATTCTCATCAATTACCGCATTATACATGTTTTTTAAATGAAAAAAGAGAAACTTACACATACCTTAAACGTCCGAAGATTGCTATGGCTCTCAATCAAATGAAGCGCACTTCCGCCTGCGTGTCATTATGTGAGTTTTCAGTATTTGACATGTCGGTAAAATCGCTATTTAGTGCATTATAGATTCTTACCAACAGCTGAAAAGTGATTGTGGCTAATTAATTCCAGCTCTATAAAGTGGATGAGATGGAGCTGCTGTATTTAACAGTTGAGATTTTTATCATCCACGTGCTGGAGACATTTAAACATACCAATAAGGTATTTATAAATAATTGACCAGCTGATCTGTGTTTCTCGGTGAAACTCAAGTAGAAATTAATAGAAATAATGGCAATGGCGGAAACATTGTTGAAACGGTATAAGACATTTCTGTTATGATTTATATATAATATTTGATTGAAGATTGATTGAGAGATACTCAATTATATTAATAAAGATTACGCTCGATTATTGATCATACATCTTATTTTATCCACATATAGAGATCTTAATTCTAAGAGAACGTCGTACATTGATTGGGATGAATATTTCATGGCTATAGCGTTCCTTTCTGCAAAACGGAGCAAAGATCCCAGCACTCAGGTCGGTGCATGTATTGTTAATAATGAAAAACGAATTGTCGGCATTGGATATAATGGAATGCCCAGAGGATGTGATGACAATGAGTTTCCATGGGGAAAGAGCTCTCATAATAATTTAGAGACAAAATATCTTTATGGTACAATAATATACGATAAACATAATATTTTCTTTTATTATATTATTATTATACACATATACATAAAAATAAAATATATATGTATGTATAATAATAATAATAAATAAGAGATAATATTTAACTATTAAAAACATTCATGTTAATTTTTCATTGGATGGTAGTGTGTCATGCAGAAATTAATGCAGTTCTAAATAAGAATTCAAGCAATGTTAAAGATTGTACAATTTACGTTGCTTTGTTTCCGTGCAACGAATGCGCGAAAGTAATAATACAATCCGGCATAAAAACAGTAATATATATGTCGGATAAAAATGCTCACAAAGTCGAGACAATAGCTGCAAAGAAAATGTTTGACGCTGCTGATATAGAGTATAGGTATTGTTATAGTTATATAGGAATGATCTGTTAATTTATTGCTACAATTGCAAGATCTCTTATAACAAAATTCATTAATTTTCTTTTAGGCAATATATTCCAAAAAATCAGAAAATAGAAATTAATTTCAGTGATATTAATTGGAATGAGATGAGTCAATTACCACAAACTCCAACAAAACAAGAAGATTAACAAAGGAAGATTAAACTTATCTTATCAATTATTATTGTGTCTCGTATCATGGACAACTATAATTTGATAGCAATTTTACTTTATTCTTCCATTTTTGTTTTATTCTTTTACGAAATATATTTTACCTAAGCAAATCGCATTGTATGAATAAAAAACACACACACAAAGATATGTTAGTTAGAACTATGAATAACAATAAAAATTAAGACATTTCTTCTATCAGAACACATCATGGTAGCATGTACAATAAGAAAATTTTGTTTTTATTCATGTTTCTATTTATTTATTTATCTTTTCATTTGACATTTCATAAGTTGAATCTTTCCAATTAATGCTAATCACCAGATAGCACGTGAAAATACAACTTGTGATTGTATTTATTGAATATTGATTTTTTTGAAAGAGTAAACATTAATATTTACATATAAAAGTTAATTAAGAGTAGGTACAAATGCAGGCAAAGCAAACCTGCTCTTTCTCCAAAAACTTTACAGATTTGATAAGTCCCATTTTTTAATCATAACAAGATGAGCATGCAGAAAATAAATAAAACAATATACAGAAAAAGTTAAACAATAATTGCAATAAGACTAATATGAAAAGAATTTAGAATTGGATCCTTCACCGATTTTGAATAAAATTTGGCAGGATTATAAAGCAACTAAAAGTAGTATTAAGTACTTTATAGTCTTGGCAAGTTTCACTAAAATTGGTGGAATTCAATTCTGTATCTTCTCTTGTAAGATAGAATTAAATATATGACATAACTCTCTGTTTATGCGTTTTATGTGCTGTACAAATGTAATTAATGATAATATTCTTATGGCATAATGTAATAAGAAATATGTAACAATGTTTATTTTCTCTTTGAATTAAGCGGATTACGAGTAGATTAGTTTTACTTGATATAATATTTTTTCATGCTGATGCAATAATAATAAAAGAAACGGTTAAACATAAGGATATTTGATATATATGTATATGCGTGTATGTTAATATGTGTTTTATGTACATACTATACATTCGAATTCGTTCAATTAAAATGTTATTCCACTTATTTCCTCAGTGAATATAATGTGAGGAAAGTTAGAGACAATGAGCATGATTACATGACAAAATCTGAGAATTCATCACATAGAAGTTATCTTTCATATTACGGAAAATTGAGATTATATATCAGCATAGAATACTATGCATCATGTATATAGATGTCAAATCAATGAATAATATTTATAATATTGTTTATTATTAAAATGTTAATATTATGTTTTATAGCAATATTTTTTCATTTTTGCTATACATTAATCAATTATATCAATCATTATATCGGAATAAACAATAATATGTGTATACATATATATTATATATTAGTATATGTGTATATATATATATATATATATATATATATGTATGTATATACATACACACACTAATATATTATAATGTGTATTTGTGAATGCGATTACACGTCATCTATTTTGGAAACAAAATATTTGAAAATTCTAAAGCTATATAACTACCTTGTGACATTAAGTAGTATAAAATGGCAATTTTAAATTTGATTATACATTTTAATAATAAAAGCAGATATTTATGCGCGCAAAAAGTGCACGAGTCATTTATTTAATAAAAATTATTAATCAAAAAAATTCTGTGTGATGAATCCAATTATATTCATAGAAATGAAAAAGAGAAAGGAGAGAGAAAGAAAGAGAGAGAAGATATGGTCTAGAAAAAACTCAAGATAGTAGTACAATATTATGTTTGGGGATTAAAAGGCAAATCTAGATTCAGCTCTTGACAAATTCGAATATAATTCGCAATTAGCATTATTTATTTTCTATGTTTTGATGTTTGTGTCTATATGCGCATGATAAAAGTTTTTATATCGAGGTAATAACCTCCAGTACAGATTGGAACAACTAATATTTAACTATTATTATTTAAATAACAATTTGGAATTCGATACTCTCCATTTGTAGAAAAGATGTTTAAATAAAATAAGATTAAAAAAATTAAAATTTTCAGTTTAATTGCGCTTTTTGATTAAATAAATAATATTGTGTACACATACACACATACACACACACACACACACGTGTGTGTGTGTGTATGCGCGTGTGTGTGCACAATTATTAAGTTTAATATAGAAATAAATCTAAATTGCCAATATAACCAATCTTATTTCAATTAAATTATTCCATCTCGATTTTCGACTTCTCGTTTTACGATAATAGACGATATGAGATAATTTGCGGATAAGTATTTAAGGAGGTAAATATAACTAATACAATAAAACATAGATACCTATTATATGTTTATGATTATTGTTATGATGTGTTTGAATAGGTGATTAACATTCAGATAATATTCATTAGCGGCAAATTCACTCGTCGCTCATTGAAAGAAAGTCATAAGACATATACACTTATAGTATTTGAAATATGTACAAACATTATTAATAGCTTGGTAGTACCTATGGTCGTTTCGTATCGAAAATGTTTTTGTTTTTTTTTTTTACGGAAAAACTGAAAACTTATAAATAGCACATTATTTCCGAAAATTAAACGAGGTAATTATAACATCCTTTGACTTGTACCGATATAGGCTTGAAACCTTTAGTGTTCATTAAAATTTCCGCAATCCGCGTCGATGTACACATGAACGATGATAACCGTTATCAGCACACTAACGACTTTTCGATTTATGATATACTTTGGTAGTTGGCGTATACAATACGCAGTTTATCTCGTTTCTATAATAACTTTCACAGACTTTCGCAAACGGACACTACTTATTTATTGACTTCTCGATGGAATATCAGGGTTCCAATCCAAACGTTAGATCATTACCCTGAGCAAAAAACGCAGGAATAAAATATGTATCTAGGAGGAAAAGCGTTAGGTCATTTTGTTCATTCGAATTCAAAAAGTTTATGGGTGAGGCGAACCAGAAGTTAATAATACACAATGTGGGAACGGAATCCATCCAAATGCGGCGACGGACATTACACGGTACAGTATTCGGTGCTCGTCTAGCGTTTTTTTTTTGCGGCCTCTACACAGTAGAGTATTATGTAGGCATCGCTGGAAATTGTACACCTTAACCTCAGTAGAAATATTCGCATAGAACGCGCGTATGTATGTATGTATGTATGTATACAAGTCTTGTCTTTTTTTTTGTACCAATGTGTTAGTCTCGCACGTGTTATTTTTTACACACTGCACGTCTCGTACACAAAACAATCCGCACTTTTGTCGACTACATCCCTCCCACTCCTGATCTCCAGCCTTCTCTTCGCATTTAGCGTTGCCGCCCACAATAAGTAGAACGTGAATCAAATTAATCGATTTCGATTGTTAACTAATATTTAGCTAAGTCGTCATCTCTCTTTTTTTTTTCTCGTCCTCATAACATTCCGGACCACGTTGAAATCATAGATGCGGGGTCCGCGCCTCTCGTCGTATCGTAATTTATTAAGATTGTTTGTCCAGCATTGTCCTAGCCACTGTTCGCACTACGTGCGAAATACTCTCGAGGAACCAGTTTCTGTGTAACACACGCTCTACTCGATTGATTATTCCGCCAATTTCGCCTCATTTCATTTTTTGTCACGACACCTAAAATACGATTTTAAGTTTCTCTAGCGCAGATTAGAACACCGGCTGCTCTCCATTGACTCGCCTAACTAAACGATTAGCGATTCAGTGACGCTGCGATAGCGCGTGCCTGGATCAGTTCTTAATCGAGTTCTCTTTCTCTTGATGATTGTTGGCTTTCGGCTCGGGTGGCCGAAACGCGGTGGCGAACGGAAACCGCACGTGACATTTCGCCATGAAATCCTCTATCGTGTTGTCGCAGTGTCCGAAGTCGCCGTTGCGCAATGCTTCAAGCACCTTCGTGCAGTTCTGCAACGTCACGCCTTCCAGCTCGTCGATGTTTGACACGAGGGAAAGCGCTTTCAGCTGCGCGGACGGGTCCAAGACATACAACATCCTCGCGGCTTGTAACTGATGCGCTAGAGAATTTCTACTCTTTTTCAAGAACTCGGTGTTTAGTTGAGCCGGCTTTGTACTGGAGAAGATCCCGACGGTCTGACGTTTTATCACTTCGCCTACCGCTCCTTCCAGCGGCATCTTGCTAGTGTGCAGCAGAAAACGCACCAAACACGTATGCAAATCTGGATTGTTCGCATCCAGCCTATGAGCACGTTTTATCGAGCGCAGCATGAGAAGAGTGCGACCTGTAAGAGAAACAGACATTTACTATCTCGTCCGCCAAACGAGAATCAATCTTGCGAAATTATTTCATTGTTAAACATATTCTTGAAGTACCTTTGCGAATGTATATCTCAAAAGCCATGAGATGCGTCTCTATTCGATTCGACGCCAATTCCTGCAAGGGCTGCAGAAACTTTATTGCTTGTTCCAGTGGATCTTCGGCCTGAAAAATATATATAAAAATTAATTTGATTAATGTATTAATAATTACATAGTAACTTTGTAATTTTTTTTTTTTTTTTTACTTAATATATATATATATATATTGTCATAAAAATGTTATAATCAACCCTTAAATAATGACGTCGATCTGACGCTTGGATTTAAAAAGAGGATAAGTTTAAAATATATATTCACCCTTTCCAGCTTTTCCGGAATTAATTCGTCTAGCGTGGGTTGCTCGAGATCAGGGTCATTTTGCTGTCGAGATTTGTTATGTTGCTCTCTTTTCTCCTGAGCTTGAGCGGCTTGTTGCCGTTCCAATTCGGCCTTTCTGCGTTGTTTCCTCTGTTTGTTCCTTAGCTTTTTCAATTCGGATGGGGCCAAGTTTTCTGTAACGTAGTAAGAAGAGTATTATATTTCTAATAAAAATAATTAGGACGCAGATCACAAAAAATTGCGTAATCGATAAAAATGTTCAAAAACTTATTCGCTCGAAGGAACAGAAAGTTAGCTCTGTATATTCATAACTACCTCATAATTTACAATTTAAATAAAAATAACTTCCACTATACATTGAAGAATGATTTCTTTTTATGATTCTACACGTGGGTTACTCAATATAATGTACGAATGCGGAATTCTTTCGTGTATACGTGTATATGCGTATCCTTTTGAATTTTTTGTCGTGTCGTTATGCAAGATTTTCCCTCGTTTCAAGAAAACGGAGGAGATCAGTTTCGACATATGGTTTCCGCCGCTTTTAAATATCAGCGTAATCTCTTCGCTCTTGCTGACGTACTCGCCAAGGTTGTGTACGATATATT